AAAGACAAACTATATTGTTGATTCCCTTATCTGAGCCAGAGACCGAAACGGGTCGGGTCGGATTCTGGTCACCGGAAGAAATTTTCTATTTTTCATGCGTTTTTCTGCGAAAAATCTAAAGTTACACTCCTTTTTTTGGGCGCGAAAAATTCTTTTTCAAGGTTTATTCGGGTCAAGGAAAAAAAATTTCATATGGGGTTCGATCAAATGAGTAGTAGTATTTATTCACGAAAAGTGAGTTGGACACCACTCGGTCTTTGATCTGAGCACAATGAGAAAATAGTCGAAGACTATGCAAACCCATTATTTGAAGTTCTAACACATTCATGTTTTCAGAGTATAGTTCTATGAACTGGTTTTATTAGTACATCTTTTCTAGATTGTATCACATGTCCGATGATCAACATCAGTCTGTCCCATCGCTGTTTTCGTCAACAACAATAACGAAATTCACAGGCAGTCATCCAACATTAACAAAATCATTTTCAGATCCTTCAATATCTTCAGTTAATAATGATTACGAGACAGAAGCATTAGTTCGCGAAAAGGATGATAATGGTGTGTCATTTATTAAAAAAACAAATTCAAATTTAACAATATCATCATTGACAGCTGGACCATCATTTCTTCAATTTATTTTCGTAGTTTTACTTCTAATCTTCGTTACAAGCTTGTGCTCCTATCTTTACAAAGACTCTCTAATCAATTTACTTCTAATACTCGAAACTCTACCTTGGTGGTGGACTTGCTTGTTCTTTTGTGTCCTATTCACAGTGGTTTCATTACCATTTGCTTGGGGTAAGTTTTCTCTTAGTCAATCTTTATTATACTCTGAATATCTTCTTTTTTCGCTTTCAACTCACCTATTTATATTTCTAGGTTACATTTTATTGAATATTTCATGTGGCTTTCTTTATGGTCTAATATATGGGTTTCTCAGTATTATTATGTACGCTTGTATTGGTCTAACAGTCTCGTTTTGGTTATGTCGATATTTATTAATGCGAAATTTATTTTGTAAAAAGTTAAATTTGAAAACAACAGTCGATCAAAATAGAATAATACAAACATTAATTAAAATTCTCATGAGCCAAGATGGTTATAAAATTATTCTATTAGGTCGTCTGACACCGGTAAGTTGTAGGCTAAACAGAAACGAAGACGAGAGTACTGAATAGATGCATTGATCAAAAGTTAAAAAAAGATTTGTGTGCTAAGAAAGTTCTTTTCTGTAAATATAGCTTCCATGTAAAAGGTGAACATCTTGATATAGAGAAACTAAGGTTCGAGTCTTTGTAGTTAGAAAGAGAGTTATTTTTAACTCATATTAAACCGTTTATTTTTGTTTTAACGGTTAGCTAGTATTTCTCTCTTCTATTTTAGATTCCTTTGGGCTTACAGAATGGATTTTATTCTATAACGAATATTGAATTTCGTACCTATTTATTTTGGTCTCTCTGCGGTTTAGCACCAACTCAGTTTATTTACTGCTTCCTTGGGACACGTCTACATTCTATGACAGATTTAATTCTAATTGATAAACGTACAAAAACTGTTGGAATAATAACATTGGTAGCTGAATGTTTTATGACACTATTCTTGACATGGTATGTATTTCATACAGCAAAAAAAGTTTTGAACAGGCTATTATTAACGCAGACGATTGAAAAATTAAATATGGGACCATGATTGAGTATATATATATATATATGTATGTGTGTGTGTGTGTGTGTGTGTAATTAACTTTTTCTTTGTCTAATCGACGCAGGAGATAAGCGCGGAAAATCAGACGAGGAATGTGGCAGAAATTTATGTAATACTTTCAAATAATATAATATAATACTCGTATCAACATCAGAAAAGCATTTAGATTAACCAAATAAAACTATTATTGTATATCTAAATCAAGGCTTCTTAATTGAGATCACTTTTTTGTAAAATGTGTAACATAAAAATTAACATCAAAGAAACATCACACAGCGGGAAGCGTAAAATGAGAGTGAGTAAAAAATAGTCATCTCAATTAAGAATGAGCCATCTAAGTAATTGTTCTTTTTTTTAGCTAAGTTGTTTTCTCTGCTATAACATAATGTAATTGACGGTGCTTTGTTTCTTATCTTCTTTGTACATTGTTCGCCTTCAATTCTGTAGGTTAAGTATATATACTTTTGTTTTAAAATTAAATCTTGATAATTATGCATTTATTTTTACTTTTTGTTGTTGGTTACTTACAACAGTGATAATGTATATCAGCTTTAAAAACAGCAAGAAGAAATGAAATGTATTTTTTTATGATTGTTTTATTTTATTTTTGTATTTGTATTAAGAAAGATACATTCCAATTTTCTTATCTGAGATCTTTTTAAGTTTTTTGTTTTTGTTTTTTTTTAATTCAGTCAAGTTTAGTTTTTAAATTTGCATTGTCCGTCATCAAAAAATTAAATATAGTTGATGAACACGAATAATCTGTTTTTCTTTTACCTAAATGTATGAAAAATGTTAGTTAATAATAGGAGTATTTGGACATCAGTTCTAGAACTGATAATCGAAAAATTATTAAAAAGAAAAATTAAAATAGAACTGTTATTTGAAATTCAAGAACTCTTGAGTTTTTGAATGATTTAATATTGATAACACTTACAGTTCTGCTAACACTAACAAAAAAGGAACAGCTTGTACGTGTATTTTTATGGTTTAGAAATGAAGAAAGAAGTGTAATATTTCTTTGCTTCAAGGATACAACACAGTCCAACTGTTGTCTCACTGCTAAAAGTTTCTACTGTTCTTTATTGTATGAGTATTTAACAAAAACTCTATCGCGACTATTCTACTTCCAAATAGTAGATTGAGCCATTCTGAACTTTACCTAAACGACGCAACAAAAGTCCAAGTTATGTGTAACAATCAAAAAAAAGTTCGATTCAAACAAAACCGAATGGTCTATAGAGTCTCGGTTTCTGGTTTCGGAGTTTTTATGGCAGTAAACTGTAGTAAAGCGGTCTCTCATCTGAACAATAATGGCAAATTAAAAATTAAAAAGCTTGATAATCAAAAATTAGATCGTAATACATTCTAATATACAGATTATGTTTTTGCTTTAATTCATATAAGACAATCTAATATGTTTTCAGAAAAAAAATGTCCACCGAGAATTTTCCTGGAATAAAACCGATTCGTTATAATCCTGATGCCAAAATTGATGATGTTTTGGTATTCAAACACTATAATGCTGATGAAGTTTTAATAGGCAAACCGATGCATGAATGGCTAAGATTTGCAGTTTGTTATTGGCATACATTTCGTGGACAAGGTCAAGATATTTTTGGAGCTATACCGACGATACATCGTCCATGGGATGATGAAACACAATCAATGGAAAATGCGAAACGACGTTTGCGAGCAGCTTTTGAATTTTTTACAAAACTCGGAATTAAGTATTGGACATTTCACGATCGTGATATTGCACCAGAAGGAAAAACTCTAGAAGAAACGGAACGTAATTTGGATGAAATTGTTTCATTAGCCAAAGAATTACAACAACAAACTGGTGTTAAATGTTTATGGGGTACAGCGAATCTCTTTTCAAATCCACGATATATGAATGGAGCTGCGACCAATCCTGACGCTCATGTCTTTGCATGTGCAGCAGCTCAAGTTAAAAAAGCCATAGAAATTACTCATGAATTGGGTGGTGAAAACTACGTATTTTGGGGAGGTCGTGAGGGTTACATGTCGATGTTGAACACAGATGTTAAACGAGAACTTGATCATTTAGCAAAATTTTTTCACATGGCTATTCAACATAAACAAAAAATTGGCTTTAAAGGACAATTTTTAGTTGAACCAAAACCAAAAGAACCGACAAAACATCAATGTAAGACTATCATCCTATAAAATAGAAAAATAGAATTGTATTAGACTGCTCTATTTTCTGTTTAGATGATTATGATGCTCAAACAGTAATGGGTTTCTTAAATCATTATGGTTTGCAAAAAGATTTTAAAGTAAATCTACTTTGTTGTAATACATAGTCAATGTATTTATTTTATTTTTTTTCCTTGTTTTAGTTAAACATCGAGCCTAATCATACAACAATGGCTGGTCATTCATATGAACACGATATTGAAATGTGTAGTCGTTATGGAATGTTAGGTTCGATTGATTCGAATACGGGTGATGCTAGTTTAGGTTGGGATACAGATCAATTTCCAATGAATTTACGTGATTGTGCTTATGTTATGAAAACTGTTTTGACTCAAGGTGGTCTAGCACCAGGTGGATTAAATTTTGACTGTAAAGTTCGACGTGAATCAATTGATTTACAAGATATGTTTATTGCTCATATTGGCGCTATGGATTGTTTTGCATTAGCCTTGCGTCGAATGGTACAATTGTATGAAGATAAAACATTTGTTAATCTAATCAAAGAACGTTATTTATCCTATGACGAAACAGATATTGGTAAAAAAATAGAATCTGGAGAGACAACATTCGATGAATTACATCAATTTGTTTCAAAACAAAAAGAAGGACCAAAACTCATTTCTGGACATCAAGAAAAATATGAAGCATTATTTAATCGATATTTAGATGGAGCAAAAAAATGAACATTTGTTTTTGTTTTATTTTTCTTGTTCATCGTTGTATTCTAACATTTGTTATAGTCGTACATGTTACTAGTTCAAGTCAAACTTTTCATACATGTATTGATTCAGGTATTTTTAAACATTTTTTATTATTCTTTTTTTTCTCACAGTATCAGATTATAGATGTTTAGAATTGTACTCGGTGATTTTTTGTTCTATTTTATTGCATTTATTGTTAAGTTTATTAAACTCAAAGTTAAGGAGAAAATTATTTTCTCTTAATATCTGTTTTATAGTCATTTAGATTTTAGATTGTCCAAAAAACAACAACTCATAAGAAGTCGAAATGGTCAGCTACATGAGTGATAATTTTTCTTTTGTAGATTTTTATCTTTATTTTTTTCTATTTTAAAAATGAGTTTATGGTGTGATAAATATCGTCCAAAAACATTTGATGAACTAGATTATCAGCATGAACAAGCAGAATTATTAAAAAATATTGTACGTCTATTTTTTTTTCAAGTGTCTTAGAACATATTCACCATTTATTTTGTTTTATTTTAGGTATCAAGTGGCGATTTTCCTCATTTTCTTATCTATGGTCCATCAGGTGCTGGTAAAAAAACTCGAATAACTTGCATATTAAATGAATTATATGGACCGGGTGTAAATACTCTACGATTAGAAAATCATGAATTTCAAACGCCAGCAGGAAAAAAAATTGATATCACAACAATTGGAAGTGTCTATCATACACAAGTCAATCCAAGGTAAGTGAACATGTTTTTTATGATTTTAGTCTACCATATTTATCTGTCTTCTTGAATATTCTCAGAGATTTTTTCATATAGTGATGTTGGTATTCAAGATCGTCTTGTTATTCAAGAAATAATCAAATTAATTGCACAAACAAATCAAATCGATACACAACAACAACGTTCATTCAAAGGTTTGTATAAATAAAACTTTTATTTTCAAATGAAAATATTCTCATTTTTTCTTTTAATTTTCTCGATTCTAGTCATTGTTCTTGTTGAAGTTGATAAATTAACAAAAGATGCTCAACATGCTTTGCGTCGTACGATGGAAAAGTATGTCGCTTCATGTCGACTTATTCTTTGTTGTAATTCAACATCTCGTGTGATACCAGCTATTCGATCAAGATGTCTGTCAATTAGAGTTGCAGCACCAACTATCAAAGAGGTAATTTCTCAAGATTATCGCTGAAATATGTGTAACTCAACAGAAACATAATACCATATCGCAAAAGATATGTTGTCAACCGAATAATGTCACACTGTTTAAACATGATGAACTGTGAAATATAAGAGAATTCTTGAAAATTGCGAAAGTATGTTTATTTAAGTATTTATTTTACTTAGTTTCTTGTAGATAAGTATAATATTAAAAAAAGTTGCAAATTATGAATCACTTAATTTACCAAATGAATTAGCCAATCGTATTAGTGAAAAATCAAATAGAAATTTACGTCGAGCACTGTTAATGGTACAAACATGTGCGACACAAAAGTAAATTTTATTGTCAATGATTTTTTTTTTTTGTTTTCTCGTATTATACGTTTTCTTAAATTAGATATCCATTTACAAATGATCAAGTGATAGCAGAACCAGATTGGGAAGTTTATTTACGTGAAACAGCGAGAATGGTTGCTGAACAACAAACACCATATCGGTAATTAAATTGTACGAAATTAACTGTTTCATTTTTATATGTTCTGTTATTTTCTACTAGAATATTAGAAGCACGTGAACGATTATATGAATTATTATCACACTGTATACCGGCAGAAGTCATATTTAAAGTAAGTCTCTGCTCTTGACTGTTTGCAAACATATACAAATATCGTACCTCATTGAGAAACATGTTTTAGTTCACTTAATATAGACACCTATGTTTGATTTTGTTTAAGGGTTTATTAGAAGAATTATTGACAACATGCGATGGTCAATTAAAAATAGAAATAACACAAATAGCCGCTGAATATGAACATCGTCTTCGTCAAGGTCAAAAAGAAATATTTCATTTAGAAGCATTTATAGCAAAATTTATGATTGTCTATAAAACATTTCTCGATTCGGCCATGGGTGAATTATTTGATTAAAATAAAAATATATTAGTCAGATATTTTTTAAATGCAATATTATATGTTAAACTTTTTTTTTTACGTTTGTTATTGCACATGTTGTACAGAAAAAATGATTAGACAAGACATATGTGTATTTTTCATTTGTATAAAGAAAAACAAAAAAAAAGATCTATAATAAAACGTCTTGTGTTTTCTAGTACTAGTTATTTGTCTGTAGGGCTTTAACTTCGTTTTTCTTTTATTATTTTGACGTGAATCTATAAAAACAAATTTCATTATATAATTTTCTCAAATATTGTATGTGATTTGTTCGAACATCAACAGTCGATACTTTTAAGTGAAAAGTCAAAGAAATATGTCAGTATATCATATACTTCAGTTATTTTAAGTATTTTAACAGAAAGTAATGGGATAAATATCATCAGATAATGTAAGAATAATTCAGACATATTTTTACTTATAAATTATACGTCAAATGTCACGTATTGTTAAAAAGTGTGTTTTGTTTTTTACTATATCTCATCATTTTCAATTAATAGTTTTATTTTGGACCGATTATCACCGTCTGTCTACTTCTAGTTTCATTGTGAAACGTAAAACAAAAAAACTCCGTTCTCTCATTTCTTTCTTTGTGAATGGGAATGAACAGCTGTCCTTCCCTGAAAAAGAAAACAGCTTTAATATATTAACTATAGTAAATATTTTAATCAAAACAACTTAAATATAACATCGGTAAAATGCAGTTGCCGCTGATTGTGTTATTTTTAATATTGAATAATGTATTTGGTGATAAAGGACAGGATTTTAATATTGTTCAAGAGGCTATTAATCAATTGTCTGATGAACAAAAACAACAAATACTACAATTACTAATGGGGGGGGGTAGAGCACAATCAAGACAAGATATTTCGAGACAAGATAATTCGAACTGGTGTTGTACGATTGATCCAGGTATTGAAGCATTATCGAAAACGAGAATGGTTCAGTTTTATGTTCAGCGACATGCCAGAACCAAATGTGGTTACCACGATTGTGGACTATTTGGTTGGTCATCATGTACAAAATGGTGTGATAACTACTGGAGTGAAGCTCAATGGAATGTTGAATCGTATCTCGTTTATCAAGCACGATTATGTCCTCAAACGAATTTAAAATGTTGTGCTGGATATCTCACCATTGTTAATCATTGTTTTACATTCGAAGAAATCATGAATAATAAAGAAATATTTGATCAATTAGTGGCACTTGGTATTCCAATTAATGCACTTGGATAACTAACTAATATCATTGATATATAACACTTGATTGCAGAATAATTGTAATAAGTCTAAAGTTTAAATTCATTCTATTTAAAAAAATATGAAAAAATATTGTTGCATATCCAATCGTTGAAAAAAAGTAGTCAGTATGCATACATATCATAAATAGATTTCAGTTTTCAAACCTTGTTGCTCTTAATTAAATAAAATATGAGAATTTGAATGTAGAGTAGGTTGGGGTAATTCGGGACAGCCTCTCTAATTTTCACAGTATTGCGAGCGTACCTGAAGCATTTTTACTCGGGAAAAACGATACTTCGCAGGTGGATAGACCGAACATTTCTCTATCTACTAATGTAAAAATCTTGTTAAAGTTCAATAAGATTAATTAGTACTCATCAATTTCAGGGAGCTTCTATTAAATGTCCCGAATTATCCCATTTGGGGTAATTCGGGACAGTCCAGTAAAAGTGGCTGGAATAAAGTAAAACAACATTTTTTCAACGGCAAAGTTTTACCTTTCTAATTAAAAATTATACTATCTTGTAGAGAATTTTGAGCTCTATCTACGTTGTAAATTGCTAGTTCTTTGGACATATTCTTGATTAATTAATTAGAATTTGCGAAAATGAACGAACACAGTCGCTTTTTTTTTTTCTTGTGTTGAACAAGTTCAACTTTTCATAAATCTCGTACAATTCTCTTCATGTTACATCAAACGTTTTTAAAAAACAGACCATCTAGCGTCAACTATTTCCCAGTGAATAGTCAAGAGTCGGGATTATATCGCAATACAGTTGGTAGTGTATCAGTATAGAATTTCCTTTATTACAATTTCTACGCTTTTTGCTGGATCGATAATTCAACGGAGACTTGCCACTACTCGACTACATTATGAAAAAAATGATGAGTCCTGACTACTATTGTTGAGCGATATATATAATATTAAATAAATGCTAAAGAATTTAGATGCAAGCTGGAGTAAAAAAATGCTCGGTACCTATAAGTTTAGAGGGTTTGGACTCAACTGAGATACAATCCATGTTTTAATCAAGTCTCTCAGTTGAGAAACCAATATTTCTGCGAAAATATTCGTTTCTCAACTGAGATACAATTTTGAGACGTGCGTTGAAACATGTAATTGTGCAAGAGTGCAGTATACTAAGGTCTATTATTCAATAGTTGTATAATTGTGAAATAGTGATAAAACATATCTAAAAAAGAAATCGATTTTGTTCTAAAAGAAACTCAAAGAGGAACTCCTGCCATATTATTTCAAGAAAATCTTTTTCGTCACCAACGTACGAATAAAAATGGAAGTGAAAGATGGGTTTGTACAGTTAATGATTGTTCTTGTTCAATTGTTTTAAAAAACGATGAAATAATGTGTTTAAATGGTATCCATGCACATAAAAACACAATTTTCGGCGCATGTTGATCAAGCTATATCTGGTGTTAAGCGTAAAGCTGTTGAAGATCCAAAAACACCGATTCAACAAGTTTATAATGATGAAGTTATAAAATTTGTAAGTTAAAATTCTGTTTGCACTAGTCCGGTTAAGAGCGAATATATGTGCTGCTATTTGGAGCGCTATTGAAGCGCCAGTATGGAACAGCTTCTGCAGTGCCGGTTTTCGATTATATTCGTCCAACAGCATATCGTAAAAGACAGTCAGTTTTGCCACCGCTGCCAAAATCAATATCTTCGATTGTTGTCCCTCCACCTTTAAAAATAACATCAATGGGACAACCTTTTTTATTTTGTGATACACCAAGAAATCATAAAATTTTAGATTTTGCTTCTCCAGATGCAATTCGATTTCTAGGTAAAAGTTTAGATGATATTGCAGGCAGGTAGATTTGTGGGCACTTTCTTTCTCCAGGATCATATGAACACTGGAACGCCGATGGAACATTTCGGACCGCTCTCAAAATGTTTTATCAATCGTATAGTATCCATGCTTGGAATGACTTGAGCAAAAAATCACTAGTTTTTGTCGCAATGCCAAATAAATTTGGTAAATTGTATAAAGAATTACTTAGATCATTAGTTCGATATGCTGATAGCTTAAGTGTGACATTAGCTCCAAGATCAGTTCTCATTGATTTTGAACAAGGTGCACTTAATGCATTTGAAGCTGTCTTCCCAGGTATTGATGTTAAATTATGTCATTTCCATTTTGGACAAAATATCTGGAAACGAATTCAGAAGTATGGTAAACCGTGCAGCATGGCAAGTATAATAAGGACCGTTTAAATCAGTCTGGTCTTTTCTAGAATCGGTAAAATTATATAAAGACAAACAGATACGTCAACAATTAGTCAATATTCTGAGTTTACCATTGATGCATCGGATGATGTGACTGGATTATTTGTCGGTATAGTTGAAGAACTTAGTAATTTAGATAATAAGTTTTTAAGATTAACAGATTATATATTGAAAAATTATATTGAACATGCGAGATTTCCTATAGAAAAGTGGAACCATTTTGATTTAATAGAGGAAAGACCGTGTAAAATAATCACGTAGGAGGCTACCATCGACAGTTAAATGCGTAAGTTCTGAATATCAATAGTTCCCAAGTTTTGCAGTTTTGTATCTCAATTGCAGACACATAGGAATACATCCAAGCATTTGGAATTGGAAAATGAACATACAAAAAGCTGAAGAAATAACAGCTATACGTGTTGAACAAGAAGATGAACAAGAAAGGACGAGCAGAAAAAGAAGAAAACAAGATGTTCAACATGATATTCATTTAGTTTCTGCCAAAAATGCATTTGTGAATGATGATATTGATCTACAAGAATTTCAGCGACTTTCACGCCACTTTGCGTACAACTACTTCAGATAGTTAATATAGATACGTCATATACCTGATGAAAAAGAAATGATGAGAAAATCGTAAAGTCCATATTTTGTAAAATGTATCTCAGTTGAGAAACGAATATTTTGACCAGAAATATTGGTTTCTCAACTGAGATATTCTCAACTGAGATACTTGATTAAAACATGGATTGTATCTCAGTTGAGACGTTACGGTTCAGAGGAAACACTGATATTTCCTTACACTATTAGCATTTATTTAATATTCATTAATGAGAATAGCATTTCTTTTTGTAAAATTTGATTGATTTAGTTTCAAGCCATTAAGCAATTGTTATATTTTTACCTGCAATTTTAAGAACTGTCGCAACAGCTCTCATACCACTAGAACTTCGTACAAAATTCGCTCAACAATAGTAGTCAGGACTCATCATTTTTTTCATAATGTAGTCGAGTAGTGGCAAGTCTCCGTTGAATTATCGACCCAGCAAAAAGCGCAGAAATTGTAATATAAAGGAAATTCTATACTGATACACTACCAACTGTATTGCGATATAATCCCGACTCTTGACTATTCACTGAGAAATAGTTGACGCTAGATGGTCTGTTTTTTAAAAACGTTTGATGTAACATGAAGAGAATTGTACGAGATTTATGAAAAGTTGAACTTGTTCGTGAGCTGATTGTCAGTTAAGATTCTAATTTAATTTTTCTTTTAATTTTAACGGAGGAAAGACCGTTCAAAAACAACAGTATTCATGTTCTCTACAGGGAACGATGAAATACACTTTTTCTATTCGGTTTTTACATATATGATAGAGCTCATGGTTCTGAACAATTGTGTCGTTTAGCATGGCATCATAATCAGTTTCTGAAAGAGAACAGAAGTTGTTTTCTGTCTATTTCGTGTGATTTGCACGGACTGTCCCGAATTATCCCATGCAAAATAGTAGAGTATCCATAATTACCTCAAACAAGAAAAATAAAAAAAGCGACTGTGTTCGTTCATTTTCGCAATTTCTAATTAATTAATCAAGGATATGACCAAAGAACTAGCAATTTATAACGTAGATAGAGCTCAGATGAGCCAAGTTCATCGCTAGTATTGAACAATAATTTGAAGAGCAGCGATAAATAAACTTGAATTTTGATAGAAAACAAATGTTTAAACGAGAATATGAATATGTGTATCAAATGAATGAATCATCACTTCAAAAACTATTTGTTGGTAAGAATAAGTGAACTATTTTCTCTTTCTTTATTTAGAAAACTAATTATCTCGTCTTGAATAGAATTTTGTATATCTATACGTACTTTTTTTATTTTATTTTGTGATGAACAATAACTATGAAGTATTTTCTTATTTTATAGATATATCAGCGATTATAGCACACGGTGTGTGTATATGTAAGCAAATCGAGTAGGTTAAAGTAAGGTTTCATTTTCTTTCTATGTATTTCTTAAGATATAGACATGGAAAAGGAAAAACTAGAGACTTGTTTTGATCAACTCTAATGTGATACACTGCAGAACTGAACCGAACTGAATTTTTATTTTTGCAAGCATGGTTGTTGCAAAGAAAGGCTAGCTTATGCTAATGCAACACCGAGAAAGCGACAATACGTTGCAACGTTTTCTTTTTTTCGCTCATTCGAGATTCTATAAGCATCAGTTGCATATATACACGTAAGTTTAACATATGTAGAATATATAACACGTTGAACACATGTTGGATATCAACATTGTTGATATTGCTTTGATATGATGTAACAAAAACCGGAAAAAATTTTTAGAGTTATAAAAATTATTAACTGGAGTTGTGAAGTTGGAGTTGAAACAAATCCGAGCTCAGCTCAACTTTAATCTAATAAAAATGCAAGTCCAACTCCACTAAAAAGAAGCTCAACTCCGAAGTAGGAGTTGCCCGTCTCTGTCCTAGTGTCAAAAGTACTGACTGAGCTTTTGCCAAAGTATTATCAACTCGTATACTTGATGGATAATACAATGTCTTTTTTTATCAACTTTTTTCCATTTAACAGCCAAATTATCCATTATGTACAAAAAGCGTAAAAAGTTCTCTTTTATGTAATTACATATATTTGTGAATTTTTTGACGAAGAAGGATAATATCTGTGATTGACGTGATTGAATGCACTGTGTTTACGTCAAATCTGAAGAAATACATTGACAAAAAAATTTCTCTGAGATAACACGGACGTTAAAAACCTGATATTTGAATTTTGAGAAACTAAATGGTAGAGCGTTTTTGATCGAAAAAAATCACATATTTTGTGAGTCAGAAATTTAGGAAACTTTCTCTCGTTCTTCTAATCAAAACACATCTACCACATATAATTTTTAATACTCTTTGAATAAGATGGTTGGAATCGAATTTTAATAACTACTGAGTTGAAACTTAATAATACGTTTTGTAAAGTTTTTTACTAAATTTAAAAATGGATTCTTATGGAAAATGTCGTTAATCTATCATCTAGAAAATTAAATTCTTATTCTGATTAATTACTTTTAGAGTGTTCATCACATCGAGAATTCTATAGGTCATGAAAGTATCTAATAAATGAATAATTTTGATAGTTATTGTACTCATACAAATACTAATGGTCTGAATATTGATCGTCACAAGAAAATACGTATTTCCAAGTAAGGAACATAAAAACTACTTGTAATAACGTTGTTGAAACATAGTGAATTGAATTTTGGATGAGATTCGATGGAAGAGAAAAGAGATAAGTACAAGTGTGGAATGCATTACGTCAAAAGTAAAAGCAGTCAAAACTTATGTTAACCACAGATAATGACTGATGACTATGAACTCGCGATTATTCGTTGTTATCTGATGCTGCTATTTTCGTATTTGAATTTAACATTAAAAAAAAGTAGAAAAAATATTATATTTAATACAAACAGATTGGTATTAAAAAAGAAGACCAAACTGGTTGAAGTTTTGAATTTAGCCAGGTCTCTAACAAAGAACGTTTCATTTAATCTCCCCCCCCCTCATACGATTCACTTTAACACTGTTCTATGATGGCAGTATAATTTTTGACGATGCTGGCACATTTGTATTAGTCGTTCTAATTGTTGTTGTTGTTATTTTATTACTCATTGTACTCCCAAACCAGAATGCTATTAGTAACGAGGCCAGATAAGCAAATAGTTGTGCAGAAATCATCAAATTAAAACTATAACCCACAATAGAGCCTCGATAATAATTATTTAAATAACTTGCATAAGCTGATGGGATAAAGATGGTGGCAATGAATATCAGTAGAAGTGGAATAAAACGACATTTTCGTGGAAATAATCGAACTGCAATAGTTACTAAAATAATTGCTGTTGTAATTAATAACAAGAGAGCGAGTATCGATAGAGTAGCTGCTGAAGGCGAACATACTCTTCCAAGTGGACATTTAAATATGCCTGGGCCAATATGTAACCAACGAGGAGTTACGAATCCAATTAGTGTAAGTAAAGCAGCTATGGTACTTACACCAGCTCCAATTATTAACAAAATTTTATCATTAATTTCCATTTTCAAGTATATTCTTTAGCGAACAATGATAATACAATATAACTGAACACTTTTACTCTTTTACTCCTCCAAATAGAATTAAGCACAGATTAATAAAACAAAATATTTTAGGAAGCTGATGGGTAAAGTTTATTACGTAGATCGAAATATGAAAAACACATTGATAATATTTGCATAATTTGTAGGAGTAAGAGTTAATCTTAGACGTGTACATTTTGAGTCATCTATGCCTTTTTGATTGAAAAAAAATTTTTTTGGATTTTTAAGCTAATTTGAATATTTTTATACGTCAATCATAATTCTAAATGACCTTGATTAGTAATCGCACATCTAAATAAGTGAATATACCAGAAAAGACAACAGATTAACTGGAAATGATTGCTTGCTTGTAACAATATGATCGCTCATAAACATCTTCTACATTGATAATTTGACAACAGAACTTAGGACGCAAAACTAAATGAACTCGGAAAAAAGAGATATTTGAGCTCGATGTGTTTAATTAGCTTTAAAATGAGAGAAATGAGCTCGGTTGTAATAAAATTATATTTCATTTATATACACAGGGACGCCGCAAAGTACAAGAGGCAGGGAGTTCTTCGATTTCGGAGTAAATGAGAAAAATTTTAAAAATGAGAGTAAATATCTGATTTGTCTAAAATACGCAAATTTTGACATACAAAACGGTCTGAGACATTACTCCGTTAATTTTAAGAGTAATCGTGATCACCTGAGCTATTGATTAAACTCTGAGCTTCAAAGTTTGACTTTAGGAGTACTGTATACTCGGCGGACAAAGGCGTTTTGATACGAAGAGTCAAGCGTTTATACCACGGGATTTAGGAGCAAAGTTGGTGAAAGGGAGCCAGAAGAATGGAAAGTTTTCAAAATGCGAGATGTAGCAGATTTTCTTGGAAACGAAAAAAAAGAAAATATGCTGGTGTTTAGTCTTAAACCGAGAGTATTTATAATGAGTAATCAACGATACTCTTATCTTTATTAGCACACGCCAGATAACGCTGATTGTTGTTCTCAATGCAGAGCAAAACCTTTTTGGATTTGGATGTAAAAGATTTCAAAAAGCAGGGAGGGGATCCCTCTCTCTACTCCTGTTGTCGCGGCGTCCCTGTATATACATGAGATATTCGAGCTCGAAAATGAATTTATACTCTGAAAATTAATACAAATGAGCTCGGTTAGTTTTATTTTTCTTGGTAAAAAGAGAGAAATGAGCTCAGTAATTAATTTAAGAAAATGAATTGATGATTTTATCAGTATAGTAAAGTGTATTTAATAAGAAAAAAATAGTTCAAGAACAAAAAAGTGTTAAATTACAGTAGTTTTTCATTAATATTTAATTTTTTGTTAAAGCTAATTTGACTTTCTTTGGACTACGTTTTCTCCTTCTTATCGCAAGCGGTAATGGAACTGAATGATCATTTTCTACAATATCCTTTCCATTTTCATTATCAAGTCTTTACCTTAATTTGTATAAATCGATGGGCTTTTTATCGTTAAATAACGAGATAAGTCTGCACGCATGTCCCATCAGTACATTTTCAATTAAATCTGTTCTTTCGTAATGTCTCGTCAAACTTGGCACGAAAATTTCTCTTCTACTTTTAAAAGTGATATCGAATCTTTTACAAAAGAAAACAGAGTTTCTACTTATTGTCCAGAGCATTTTTAAGCCGATAAAACTATTACATGTCATTCTACAGAATACAAAAAATATCGTCAATTAAAATCAAATGAATTCAATAATAAATTTTACAGTATTTAAATCAGAATGTTCATAATCATGATCACTATAATGATATAACTTGTCTTAAATCCACTAAAGTTCCACAGTCACTTGTAATACGAAGGGGAAAACGTAGTCCAAAGAAAGTCAAATTAGCTTTAAACAGAAGATTAAATATTAATGAAAAACTACTGTAATTTAACACTTTTTTGTTCTTGAACTATTTTTTTCTTATGAAATACACTTTACTATACTGATAAAATCATCAATTCATTTTCTTAAATTAATTACTGAGCTCATTTCTCTCTTTTTACCAAGAAAAATAAAACTAACCGAGCTCATTTGTATTAATTTTCAGAGTATAAATTCATTTTCGAGCTCAAATATCTCATGTATATAAAAAATATAATTTTATTACAACCGAGTTCATTCTCTCATTTTAAAGCCCATTAAACACACAGAGTTCATTTATTACTTTATCCAGAATCTATACATATTTGGTTTAATGATGGTTCATTTATTTTTTTTGAATATTCAAAATCAATAAAACGTCAAATTACAGTTATTACAACATAATAAATATTATGTCCATCTTCGGAATGTATGTACTTCTACCTAAAAAATTTCATATCCTGATACCGAATTTTTAAAGAAACATGTTTCTTCTATCTCTAACGGCTATACTAATGATTATCATGTGTAATTCAATCAATTTAGACGTTCAAGAATCGATCATCATCCATCCATTTTTGACTCTATCCTAATGGATATTTATGTGTTCAAATTTCATTTTAACATTTGGTTAATTTTACATCAGAATATTTAGAATAAATAAAGGCGAAGAACTCAGTAGTTTGTACTGTTTTGTACTCCCTACGATCATGCACTATCTGAACTTTTCTTAGGTCAAAATGGATAAAGAATTTTTTTCCACCAATTTAAGTAAGATAAATGATTTTAATAAAGAACAGAACACGTGAAATGATGTAGTCTAACTAACTCTATTGATATTCGACCTTATAATTCGACGTTATAATTTTAAGGAGAAATATATATATGGTGTTATTACTCTGTAATCACGTGTACATTGTAGAACGAAGAATAGTCTAGATTCTTCTTCTGTGTCATTGATCAGCTGATAACTGTAAGAAGAACATTTTTTTTTTTAATGTTATTCTAAAAAGTCATGAACGAAGCATAAACGAATTATATATAATCAGAGAGAATTATACGCCATAATATTATGAGATCTGAGAAAATACCTTTTATTAATTGTTGTTGAAAATTAAATGCGGATAATACAACAACTACTAGAATAAAACATATGAGAACATCTAAGTAAAAGATATCGATGGATGTAATAAATTATTTGATAGCGAAGAATTGAGCTTAAAGTTGAAATGTTATAAAAGAATAAAAAATCAAACAGAGTTTAGCATCTGAGTCCAATAGTCACATGAATAATTTAGAAGAATTTTTATCGTGTTACTTGACTTTTATTTTGAAATGTTTCTTATGCATGCATATACACACATAATTATCATTCTTCAATCTTCATTTCATTAACGCTTTCGATCAAAGATTTAGGTTCAATATTTTCTTTGATGTCTTCTATAAGTATCATTTTCTCTTTCGATAAACGGTGCATATTGTTCTTTAAACGTTCTAATTTTGTTTGTACATGAATGCACTCAAGAGCTAGATCAATTGATTGTAAAAAATATTTTTGTCCCTGTTTCAAAGTTTGAGGTGTTAATATACCAAACCATTTTAATGGTGTATTTATCTGTTTTTCGTCGATATGTTTTTCAATTTCATCTTCATTAAATTCAATATAAGTACAAGGTTGAATAGTATCAGGAAATTGCAGAGAGGATAGTTGATTAACACCCATAATGACGCGTGAACGTGATATTGAAAAATAACCATTTTTCATCGACTGTTCTAACAATAATTTTAAATTTAATAAATGTCCAAATGTTTGAAGATAATCTAATGTTAAGTCATCAAGTTGTTTACAAACAGTATCAACCATCTAAAAGCAACGTATAAAACTGTATCGGAGACGAAAATTATCTCGAATTATCCTCATATATTTCAAAGAAATGCATTGTTCGATCTAACACTATGGTATGATTCAATATACGATCGATTCATTATATTTTATCAGATTTTTTCATTGTTTAATAAATAGATTTAGTTCAATATGTCTTCAAATCTCTATATGCCATACACTTTTCGATTAGATTCAAATTTTAAAAATTTTTGTTCAATCCATTATTTTTCCAGTTAAAGAATAGCAACAGTCGATAAATCTATTGATCGAACGTAAGCATATTTTTCTTTTACATAGAACTATCCTTCTGGTAAACACACATTCCTATCTATTCAATATGCCACAATATTTTTAACTAACTAAATTCTTAATCTACACTTTACTTTTATCTGTAGTCAGAGGACGGTATGTCATCTCTTTTACTGCATAATTTATCCATTTTCATTTATTTATTTTTACTACAAACCGTCCTGAACGTAATACACCCGATGAACATACGTATCTAAATTTTATTTTTTTACGTCCAAAATGTCTGTCAAAATTTATGTGTAGAAGGAGAGAAGAAACAACGAGTCCTACGAAAACTGTAGACAAAAGAAAGAATATACTAGAAGATGAAGTATAGTAGAAAATAAAACATAATCGAGATGATTTCACTCACCATAAACAGTTCAAGAAAACGATATATATCCATGTAATTATATTTTTCATTTACAAACAAAGCGGTAGGTAATTGCAACTTTATTTAGCTATCAGAATAAAAGGTCTCGGCTAAGAAGTCGAGGAAAGAATCTCCTAATCTTTTGATTTAAACACATGTTTGTCTTATGTGACAACATTTAGAAGAAAAGATTTCTCACAGTAGATTATGGTTCGGTTAATCAGTAGAGATATGTTAAGAGAATACGTCTTAAAAGTCACATCTGTAACAGAGTTATTTGAAGTTGGAGGCTCGAGAATTTTCTAAAAAACCAATTACATAACCGCTAATAAATCATCTATGCCCTCCTCTTGTTCTCTTTTAGAACGATCAATTCATTCTTTTTATTATTAAAACATGATTAGTGAATATAAATCATTTATATGTTCAGAATGTGAAAGACCGCGTGATATTGTATGCAAACATTGTTCACGAAGTTATTGCGAAATATGTGCAAGTTTTCATCGTGCCGAAATATTTAATCAAATGCGTGATATTCTCAATCAAATGACATTAAATCGTGAACAAGGGATAAAAGAAGTGAAAGAATTTATTGAAAAACAAGCACAAGATGCCAAAGATCAAGCAAGAATTTTAGTTGAAGATGTTATTCGACGAGTAAAATATTCATTAAGAAATATAGACAATTATGTAGAAGAACGACGAATAAGAAAATTGAATCGATTGAGTAAGTCAAAGAGAACTGATTCGAATCAGTTGTTTTTTTTATCCAATTTTAACGAAACTTTCAGCAATCAAAAGTGGTGAAACCAAAAATTATTCAGTTTAACATGTTTTGTTGTCTATCAGTGTAAAAACTAGACTTTTTAACATGTCATACGAGGCTCGAGACTGTTTTAAACTCAACTAAACACTTATATCTAATTTCTATACGCAATATTTCAGATTTTGCTTTACGAATTTTAGGTGACCATTTTTAAATTAAATACCCAATATAAACAGTTTCGAATGTACAGAGACCATGATTTTTTTTCAAGGACAAAAATTTATTTCAAAAAACAAAAAAATAGTTCAATTCTTTTCGTTTGCTATCTCATAAAACAAATTATCTCAAAACGTGAAAGCGTGTGGAAAAACTGCTCTAAAGAATAAGTCAAATTGGTCTTTTATTCAGATTGGCCTACTAATCTGGGGAGGTGTTTAGAGTTTACTGGTACAAACTTGTACTCAATTGAATCATATCCTTTTTAGACGAAAATATTTGACTATAAAAACCTACGTACTCTGAAAAAGAAATTTATATTGAATTCTCCTTGTTACAGAGCATATTTTGACAAGTTATTTTTTGGAAACTTTTAGAAATCTGCCAAAAAAACTATAAAAAGTTAAACATTGATACAGAATCTGAAATGAAGCAGTTAAGACCGCACGCTTTTAAACATACTTCAATATCGAAGTTTTGGAGAAAACTTATGAAGTATTTGGCAGTGGAGAAGTTCTGTAAAATTGAGATGAACAAAGGAAAGAGCAAACTTTTTAGGGAGATGAATAAAGTTAAACTGGTGGTTGAGTAGAAAAACTCTCAGACGTAGTAAATAGTGCATACGATCAGGGATGAGATTCCCCTGAAATGTTTCTCCTTTCTCCCGAGGAATTTTTAAAGTCTCTGTGGTCAACGAGTAAACGCGAAAATGACTTTCTTGTTGACTCCGGGATACTTTCTCCTTAGAAAATTCCCCCCTGTAAAAAAACCAAACGAGAGCTATGGTAGTAGACGAAGCTTTATTCTATTTTACAATAAAAAAAATTAATGAAATAGTTATTTCCTTATAAAAGCTGAATTGAAGCAATGAAAGACGACAGCAGTTTTGTATTTTAAAATGGTTGCACTTTGTTTCGATCTTTAATTCGACACAGCTATTTTTTTTTGTTTTGCTTTAGATGAGGCATTAAAAATATTTGATAAAGACTTTGAGCTGTTACAGACACATTATAATGAAGAAAAATTCTTATCGTCAAAACAACTGTGTGAATTACGTTCCAGTTATGCGGCGAATATGTTTGAACAACGAAAAAATGATCAATCAACAATACCAACACAGACCGAAGAACAAAAAGAAAATGAAATATTTTTCAAAAACTATCGACTCTATAAAGATTTGTTGAATCTTCGAGAAAAATGGTCATTTTTGAAACCGGCAATGACAACAAGTTATCATCCTGACAAAAAAGAATTCACATTAGATAAAGTATTAACATTTTTAGAATATCGACACGATCGAATTATTGATGATTATCGAGAATATTTAGAAACAAAAAATAAACGTAAGAAACGTAAGGAGAGAGGGATCCATCGTACATACGCCAGAAGTCACAGACTGGAACTAATAGGAAAACAAACAGATATTTTTTTTTTCACTTCACAGGGACGAACTTTGTTTCTCGAACAATTCTAACTAATTGAAATGTAACTAGAGAACATGGATAAAGAGATTGATTTTGAGGAGGTTTCGAGTATTGTAGGTGTTACTGTGTCTGATCGGGTTCGAAGATAGTTTTTCTGATATTGTTTATATCCGAGCTATTTTGACTTGTTTAGTACCGGTTGATCACAGAAATGAAGCGTTATTAAATACTTTGTCATTTTTTCAAAAAAAATCAAAATTAGTGGAAGAAGCCCAAAATTTTTCCTATTGTACAAGTAAAAATACTAATGATAAAATAACAGCCGAAGAGTCCATAGCAGAGCAAGACGACACAATATACGGTTCATTAAAACTCCAAGATAATAGAGAGGAAGAACCATCCTCTTGGAATTCATCTAATAACAGTGATTATGACGAAGATGAGCCAAGTACGGTGATTGGTGACGATTTAATATGCAAAACTAAATGACGCATAATTAAGAGTAAGTTTCTCTGAAAGTTATACGAAAGTGAGAATACATATTCTCCGGTTTATCTCATTTTTACATATGTTCTAGAGCATAATGAATTGAGTGCATATCAGAGGTACAGAACCTACCCGTCAGAATGAAAAAAACTTTCCCCGACAGAAAAATTTCTTAAAAGAAATCCTCAGTAGTATTAAAATAGTTTTTCTACAATTATTTTTCAGCAAAAATGCTACTTCGTTAAAATTTTTCAGAAAAGTTTCCCCGAATCAAAAAACCTTTTTCCCAACGGCCGTCGGAGCATCGAATATACTCTGCATGTCTGGTATATATTAATATAAATAGATATAAATCCTTTTTCTCATGCTCATAGAAAATAAGTGAAAAAGCAATCAAATCTGGGAATATGTACTCTTATTTTCTAGTATAACTTTTAGGAAAAATCACTCTTAATGAAACTGATGCTCGTACAACATCGATCCAATAACAGTAAACTTTTTGAATTATTTATAAATGTTTTAGATTTCTCGTGTATATATTTTTCTTTTTATGTGTGAACGTTTGAGTGTAAAATGTTTGTAGTAAATAAACAAGAAACAAACGTTACATGAATTTATGTGAAAAAAACATGATGTGTGCAGTTAAAGAACGGATGAAATAAAAGAAAAACAGAATCGATAATTGTAGTTCTCATTCTCAATAGGATGTGTCGAGTATCAAAAATGAAATAAGCAAACTTTCTCTGTAAAATAAGTTCCACTCATATCTGTCTCATCATTCACAATTCATAGTATAAGATGAAGTTCAAGTTTATTCTCGCGCTCTCTAGTTTTGAAATAAAGCGAGTGCGTTTCCTCTTCTATTTTTCCGTCGAATTCGAAAGGTTCACAAGATTTCTCACCTATCTTGATTGCGAACGCCAACCAAAGGAAGGCGTAAGCATTATCCTGTATTCAGAAATATTTTTAGACCTCGGGGTGTCTTTGAAGGATCTCGAGAAAACTTCTTAAATTTATATCAGATTACGAAGCTTACACATCAAATACGATAAACAATCATAACGTATTTTAGATAGTACCCTAGCGAATACCTACAGAAGAAGTGATAAGTAACATTGAAGGCGGACAAACGCATTAAATAGTACATAAAATGAGGAATCAGAACTCTTATCCATTAACTTTTGGCCAAGCTAGCCCAAAAGTGACTACGTTTGCCTCACGAATATACTTTAAATCGTTTTCAAACGTGTAAAACTGACATATTTTAGCGTATTATTATCACTTGATTATGTAATTTGATATATTATGTATAGAAAATGACAAAAAATTTAATTTTGACATGCTTTAATTCGTTGGCAAAAAATTTTAGCCAATTCAAACTCACGTCAGATTTCTCAGTAAAACGTACATATCCGATCATCTATGCAGTACAAATGTAGTTCAGCTGCTGCTGTCACCTAGCGATTTTGAGAGAAAAGATTTTGTAACGAAGTTAATTTAATCTGCGAAATTTAAGAAATAATTAATTTAAGAGACATTGCACGGTGGATGCGAACGAAGTTGTTCAATCGATGTCTGGCTTTTCCGATCAAACCTTCTATCATGGTAAACTCTACAATGTATTTTTTCTTCAACCTTAACTTTTTTGATACGCCGAAGAATTTCGCTAAATAGCAACGATTTCCAAAAGTTTAAATGCGCCATAAAGCTTCTTTTAGACTTTGATGGTCCAAGATCAGCAGATTCTAACACCACCAGAGCCTCCGAATTCTAACAGGCATCGGACAAGAAAATCAAATTTTGATTGGAGCCTTATTTCATTGCGGAGCCACTTTTGAATTCCATTATACCTCAGGCAAGTCACTCAGTTAAATTGAAGTCATAATTTCCTGTAATCACGTACCTGTACTATATGTGAACTTTTTAAAATAACATATGACTTTTCTCATTAAACCAAAAGCTGGTTTGATTAAACGAGTTTGAGATAAAATTGTGCCTTATTATCAAAGCAATATATAATTACATATTGTGAGAAATATGTCAGAATATCATTCTACCAGAGACGTCTGCATCACCCGTAGTGCACCTGCACTTCTAATCTCTTCCCGTGCGTTTTTTTCGGTCGATTGACTAATCGATCTGACACAGTTCATGATGATTGGAGAAAAAGCTGCGATTTCATGGTGCACAATCGCAGTTACCATGAGCTGTGACGGATCGATTAGTCAATCAACCAAAAAAAACCTTATGGGTTAGGACGCGCCCACTACGGCCGGAAGAAAAAATACATATTAGAGCCGGAAAGAAGTAGCTGATTTCCATATATTGATAGTTTCACTTTTGTCATATTAGTGTTTTCCTTAGAAGAATTCAGTTCTAGAACGAATAAGTTCAAATGTTTGCTATTTCTTCTTCTCAACGGCATGACCAACCATATGATCTGAGTATTATAAATTTGGAGTTAGATGACTGGAATGTTTATGTTGTTTTTAAGTCACACTTTGGAAGGTATACTGATGAAGCTTTCAAATCTCGTTGATTGATCTATTACTCATGAGTATAAAGAGTCTACATCTTTAACAGATGAAACGTTGGTTATGTAATCTTGATTTCGTAGTAATAGCATATCTTTATCATTTTCTATACATAATATATCAAATTACATAATCAAGTGATAATAATACGCTAAAATATGTCATTTTTACACGTTTGAAAACGATTTAAAGTATATTCGTGAGGCAAACGTAGTCACTTTTGGGCTAGCTTGGCCAAAAGTTAATGGATAAGAGTTCTGATTCCTCATTTTATGTACTATTTAATGCGTTTGTCCGCCTTCAATGTTACTTATCACTTAAACAAAGCAAAAGCCTGTTTTTTCTGTATATGAGTCAAGAGTGAATATATTCAGAATAAGATAACATTGCATCAGACACAAGACAGAAACAGTAGGTTTATGTATGCGAGTAGAGTGAAACTTTCTGCATAGGATGTAATATACTCTGAGCACAAAGTTTTAACTTTAGCTACAAGGAAAAACATTAGTCCGCCGGTAAAGCCTACCACAAACTTCTACATCTAAAATTGCTACTTTTTTTCATTATAATACATCTAATTCATTGTTATAAAAATGGCTCTATTTATTTTTATTTACATAATTGAAATAACAGATGCAATCAATAGGTGCAAAAACAAATAAAGGAAAAGGTTCTAATCACAAAAGAAATACACATTCTCAGTATTTAGCTGATTTTAAGACAAGCACATGCAGTATGAGTACCGTAACAGCAATAAGAATAATAATTAGCAAAAATGAGATAAACACGAAAGTATCAGAGTAGATAAGAAAAATTTAGATGAGACAAATAAGTCTAAATACATAAAAAAACCACATGTAGATCCCAGAAAAAAACAGATTTTTCTCTCAGCTTCTTTTTACCAATAGTTTTTAAGTTAATTGTTCTACCAGACGTACCATGAGTCACACACATGCTTGTGTCTGTTAAACGTATAATAATTTACATAACTGCTTTAATATCAAATTGGTTTTCCACTTTTCTTAGTGTATCTACTAGTTTTTGAAAATTTTGATCACACTCGGTTAATTTTTTCGCATTTATAGTGTCGTGTTCTTGCTGATCATCTTCATAATCATGATAGTTAACCGCTTGCCAGCTACTTTCACCATCTTGACTACTTCCATCATCATCATCATCATCATCATCATCATCATTATTATTATTATCCTCTATAGTTGTTGTCGAAATAACAATACCATGTTTTTTATCTTCAATCTCTAATAGTGCAGGTGGTTTTTCGATGATTTCAATCGTTGTTGCTGTTATTTCTTCTTTTTTGCTATCATTAACAACGGCTGTATTTGATTCTTGATTTGTTGTCAATGATGTTGTTGTTGATTGTGAAAAATCTTCTTGATCTTTGCTATCAGGTATAATGACACATTCATCAGCAGTATAATAAAAATTATAAAATTCTTTAACATTACATTTCTTCGCTGAAGTATACAAAAATAGTACGAACTATTAACAAACTGGTGTACGTTAATAGTAAAGACCAGGCTTCCTAATCAGTGGGAGGGCAAGTTCCTCCCTAAAACATTTTTGGACTTTCCGGCAAAATCTTTGACGTTTTTCCACAAGCAACTTTCTGCCAAAATTTAGAAAACTTTTTTCGTCAGCCACTTTCAGAGAAGAAAGTTTTTTAGCCCCTCCCATCCCTGAGAACAATCGGAAATCCTGGTAATATAAAGACATGGAAAATCCAACAAATGATAGTATAACAAACGAATAACTTACTGAAAAAACTCAATTCATTCAATAGTTCATCACTTGTTTTCAATGATAAGACTAAAAAAACAAAAAATCAATTGTGATAAAAAAAACCGAGATCTACGAACATCCTTAGCGGAAACAAAATCGTATAGCTAGTATAACTTTTTTCCTGCTAGGAATCGAATAATCAGAGTAAAGAACCTCTTCACTTTTAAACAGGCCAGGTTTTTAAAAAATGACTCAAAATTTCAGTAATTTTTTACTTTAAATCCGATGGGTGCCTACATTAATCGATACATGCGTGATCCGTTTTATCTGGTTACCTTTTGTTTCTTCTTTTGAGCTCAAATGCTCACGATAGTTTTCTAAAACTCGATCATGTCTATATTCCAAAAATGTGAGAATTTTATCCAACGAAATATCTTTTTTTGATGGAAAATAAACCGTTGTCAATGCAGCTTCTAGAACAGTCAAACAGAATATGTTTCAGTAAAGGCTAAGATTAAATAACAATATAATTTACGAAAAAATGTCCATTTTTGTCTGAGATTAATTAATTCATCATAAAAACGATAATTTGAAAAAAATTCTTCATTCTGCTCTTGTTCATTTGTTGCTTTTGGTTTTTCATTAATTTTACCCATACGTTCGAAAACAACATGATCAAACATATTGTACGCATATTTTTTACGGAAATCCATTAAAATATCAGCTGAAAAATAAAAAATTGAAATAGATTAACTAAACCAATATGGTTAAATAATTCATACCTGACAGAAAAATTTCTCGAACCAACTTCTCTTGTAATAATTTTTTATCTTTATCAAATTTTTCCAAACATTCATTTAATCGACCTAGTTTTGCTTGACGACGATTATCGATGTATTGATAAATATTTTTTGATGCAGTCATTATTCTATTTATGGCATCATCAACAAGTTGTTTAGCTTGGTCTTGTGCATCTTGTGCTTGTTTATTAATAAACTTGACGACTTCTTCGACACCTTTACTTCGATTTGTGACCATTTGTGAATGAATCAATGACATTTCATTTAAGATATGTCTACGATGTGACATAAAACATAAGTAACAATAATGTTGATTACAATGACGACAAACAACTTCTGAATGTTGACTACACATTGATTCAACACAAATCGACGTTTGAATTTGAACGGAACGAAGTTTTGTTTGAATAGAAGTTGTAGATGATTGAGAAAGGGATAACATTTTTATTAAATGATCAATCAATCAGTCTACAACGAAGATAATATTTCATTCGACAAAAAAATCTCTTTACTGCGTTATAACAAGAGAAGACGGTACATCAGTTTGCAATCTTGACTCATGTTATTCACAGTGGTGTTATATGCAGTTTTACAGTAGTTTATATACAGTTATATACAAGTTATATACAGTACCCCTGTCAACTTTCACGCTGAAGTCATGACCAAGTTCATGTCAAGATCACGATACGAGTCGCAAAACAAGACGCCATTTTCGCGATGGATCTTGTCAGAACTCTTGGCGCCGTGTCACGATCCTGTAAAATCCTAGGCGAATCGCGCCATGATCCAGGCCCGTAACCATGATTTTTTCGAAGGAGGGATCGACTTTTTTGCCTTTAGAGATAGTGTGAGCCCTGGCTACGGCCCTGCCATGATCCTTAGCCATGGTCATAGCCATTCTAGGAGTAGAAGAGCTATTTCGCGGTACAGCTCACTATAGTCACGAAAATAATTTCTTTTATTTTTAGAAATTCCTGATTTTATAACTTTTGATAAAGTCGCGTTCCTTCAATCGAGGACACGACGCTTGATGCGAAATATAAACTCCAGAACAAAAAGTTAAGTAAAATTTTAATATTTCTTCCGTTCTTTTATATAACTTCAACTGCAAAACAAAAGGGTGGATGATGGTAGCCCGTGACCCATGCCATGACTACGCCATATAGCAGCACGAGTATGCAGCGACAGATGCGAAACCACAGGGATCACGAATGCGACAGCGGGATCACGCTACGAGTTCAACGTGGAAGTTGGGTTGGATGTGAACTGTTTTTGGCTTAGCTTCGACATAGTTTTATCTCGAGATATGAGTTAATAGAAGAGACAAAACGAAAATATGCCTCTATTATGTTTATCACGCTGTTGAAAATATGAAATACATTTCTAAAATCAGAATCGTTTTGTCTTTTAATAACACTACTTTTTGTGTCTCTTTCAGGCACATAATATAAAGTGCACTGATCTCACATTTATGGCAAAATGTTCATAGTCTATATACTTACAGGTAAAAAGAGAGTCAAACAAGAATGTCGATGGTAGTCAAGAAGAATTGATTGCCTATACGTACTTAGTCGTTCAATAATTTCTAATACAACTACAGTACGATATATAATCTATATTATTAGATCATAAGCAAATGGAAAGGATTTTTCTTCGTTTTCTATCGTGCGTTTAACGTCAAAAAAAGTCTATAGTATATACGTACAACAGAGAAAGAAAAAACAACATTTTTATGTCTATACGAAAAGAGTGATGACGGTCACTGGCTGACCAGCGTCCTATCTGCAGCAGTAAAGAATCTATATCACATTTCTTTTTCTCTTTTTTCTTATGATTGTATGAACATAATGTTTTTCATCGTACTTTTGTGTTCATGTCTCGTCTATGATAAACTAAGGAGGTACCATAATGCGTACTCGAGAGCGGACGTTTAGCGAAAAATTGAATTGCTGAGTTTTTTCAATGCTCATTTAAGAAATGTTAAATCTCACTGGTACTATGCTCTATTGTCAAATATTTAGATTAAATCAGAAATTTATACTAGCAAAACGATCGAAGTAAAAGGATCCTGGCATTCTGTAGCAGTAGAGTGACGAGAAAATTTCCCGAATCTATGTAAACAATATGAAAAGGAAGTTTTTTTCTCTGTATGATACTTCTATGGAAATAAATGAATTTAATATTTCCCAAGTTTTCTCATCAAACACCTTCAGACTTTCCACAAATGCTTCACTGATTATCTGAAATTGGTGTTAAAATGTGTTTTCAATCAACACAAATAACATATTTGAGTTCAGCTCATCAATTTACGTTGAACAATATATAACACAATAGATTTTTGACGGAAAAATTTTTTGATAGAAATTATTATACACACTGTGGTTGGAACTTATAAAACATTCAGTTTTGACCAATTACCTGTAAAGATGCCCATAAATAAAAACTGTCATCATCATCTTCATTTTATCATATTTTGGCTGATTAAAAATTGTTATTTCTACAAGATTTTGGCTGAGATTGTTTTCAGTTTTAACTTAAAAAGTCTCTTAATTATGTTTTTTTTCTCGTTCTTCTTTTGGGATATGAAATCTTCTATTATCCATTTTTTCAAATATCTACATTTATTCTAGAGGCGCATTTTTATCTATTTGCACTATCCATTTAACACAACCATAGCAAATTTAGTGATCTATAGTTTATTGTTTTATCCTTAATGATCAAATTAAAATTTACATGTCGCCGATGCTTTATGTATTGCATCAGCAAATAGTCAAGATATCAGAAATAGTTTTATATAATCGTGATTATTATCGTTTTACTTGTTATTTTTAAAGTGACCAGTGTCAATGTATGTCTATCACTTGTTTACTATACCGGTGTGATATGTACTTTATACATTATCAGAAAAGCATCTACATAGATTGCATTCATTTTATTTTATTTGCTCAAGAAAAGACGACATTGACCTTATTCAGGTATATTAAAAAACAGTCAGATTTATAAAAAGAGATCATATACCTAACAATTTACAGAAGGAAATGAAAAAAGAAAAGAAAAATGATGCACTATAATTTTGAATGAAACTGATATTTTATACATAAATGTTCGTTTGATAGTGGGTATAGTCAAAAATTATAGTGTTGAAAAAGGTACAGAAACGACTCGAGAATGATTTGATCTCGGTTTTGAGTGAAAAAAATATGGCTTTGCAGCGCCAAATGTCGAATTTAAAGTTAGATTTGAAAATTTGAACTTTTTTAAAAATTTGAAGTTTGAAAAAGATTTTCAATGAATTTCCAGGAGATTTTGAGCAAACCTCTATGCAAATTAGAATAAAAATTCCAAAATGTGAAAAATTTTGCTAGAATGCGGTTAAAAAACGGAAACGCACTTTCACGATCTAACTTCATCCTTTTTCACGAGTAGAGAGTCAAAAATATGTTTTACTTAATACTAAATACTTTGTGGTTTTACTCAAGAAAACACAAAAAGAACAACAAACATAAATGTAAATTTCGATTTTAATTGACACGTTGTGTGTTGACTATAGCTTTGATTAGGATAAGTTTAAGTCGTTCTGGCTTTGATAAGAAATAATTATAAATTTCAATGCATGATAACAATGAGTTTAAACGAAAAACAGCAAAAGCAGAAAATACTTAAAAGGCGGATAAATTGCGGAAAAACTCAAAAATCCCAATTTATCCGCAAAATGCGAATCATCTGGCAACTCTGGTTATAATCCCCGAGATTGTTGTGCCAAAAACCGTTCATACATGATATATCGTTTGATACTTAGGGCTATCCAAAAGTAGTGAGGGAGGTACTATTTTTTCTTATAGAAAGCTTGAAAAATGTTTCTTTTTTTATGAACAGATAGAGCGTCTTTCGCTCTATTTTTCTATGCTATTTGATCAC